TCTCAAGAATACCATTTTTTATTTAATAGGCAACTAGCTTTAATATACACTTCTTTCTTTTTTAGTCCATTAAGTGGAGATTTACTACAAAATGATATTAATTCTACTCCCCCCCCCCCCCCCAAAAGGGGCAAAAAAGACTCTGGAAATATATCTCATTTACAAAACAGCTTCCCAAATACTCAAAAGTCCTTCTTGTCCCCTGTTTCTTTAAAAACAAAATCAGAAGTTCAAATTTGCCATCTGTTGGTGTGAGTCCAGAATAGAGTTATCCTTCCAATATTGTATGACAATTCTTAAGGAATATTTCCCACGTATAATTAATTATTGATGTTACATTTTAAATGGCTGAGGCTTAAAGCCAACAGGTAATTTATATTCTTAGCATCTCTGATCAATATAAGGTTGCATTAATGATCTATCGATGTCCAAACTGCAGCAATAGTATGACGAATCCAAACTATACGAGTTATTCCCAATTTTTATGATGCATTTTTGGCAGTACCGCATTTTCATCCAACTTTTTTAAATCCTTCTCTGAGCTGTCCAGTACATACAAAATAGGATTTGCTGTTGCACTGCCTTGTGTGAGTTTAAAAGTAGAACCACAGAATAAATTTATTGCTTGCATCAATTTTCTGACTACTTCATTGCATGTAAAGCTGTATTTAAATAGGAAATGTTAATTTCATTTTCTATAGGAATATGCCCGGAAGGCACTGGATTTCCTTTGGGAGAAAAGGCAACGCAGCAGCAATTTAGTAGGAGTTACTATTAACATTCATACGGGTGACTGGGTCCGTAAAGGTATGGGTCTATTTTCCCCTCTTAATTACAGATAAGAATGAGATTGGAGGTTAGAGGTGTTTATGTAGAGAACCTAAACTGTATGTCAGAAAATTGTACCTTACTTTGGACCAAAAAAAAGATATTGCATTATGCTTAGTTTCATTCCATGGTCCTTTTTATCTGTTTCTTGGTTGCACTCAACTGTTTTTGTGTTCAAATGTTTTATTTTCATTTTCAATTCATACAGTTACTTATATACTGTGCATAACCGGGGCCATATAACATTGAACAATAATCACAGCCATCCTTGTCAAAAATACTCCCCAAGATACAAGCCCAATAGACCACATCAACCCTCTCCATACACCCTTTCTTTCACCCCCCTCCAACTTTCCTTTCTCCCCTCCAACATTCCCCTCTCCTACTTCCCCTCTCCCTCTATCATTCCTTTCTCCCAATACACTCCCTCCCTTCCACCTCACCCTCCTTCCGATCCTCTCTCCCACCCTCTCTACCCCTCTTTCTTCTTTCCCTCTACTCCTCCCTTCGGTGTATTTCTACCATCTATCAATATATTCAGCTTCTTATTTTAACACTAGCATTGAAAATGCAACAGTATACAAGTGCAATCATGTTACTTTAAATTCTCGCACATACGCTATCTCCCCCCCCCCCCCTTATGCCCCCCCCTCCCTCCCCCCCCCCTGACTTCCCAGACTTCAACTGTTTTATAGTAATAAAGACTTACTTCATGGAAATGAAAACTAGTAATGAAATTAATTGTATTAATCTTTTTATCGTACTCTAGATAGCGGAGTTGGAGCAGGAATAGATTCGTATTATGAGTATTTATTAAAGGCCTATGTCTTGCTTGGAGATGACAGTTTTTTAGAAAGATTTAACACTGTAAGTACAGATGGAATTTCTCTCTCCTTGAGCTATAGAACTTTGTACTATGCTTGTGATGTATTATGTTAGATATTGTGGATCTCCGCTTCTAAAATTAGTGTATTACACTGCCAGAAATAATTATATGATGTTTCTTCCACTCCTGCACATTATCTTTTTTCCATTGTTCCATTCAGCATAAAATTCATCTACTTCCAAATATTGGTATATCTGTAATAAATATACTCAAATTAATCATAGAACTGATTTTAAAGATGCCTATTAGTGAGGCATTATCCACATTTAGAATTCTTACGTTTTGGAAGTAAAATGGGCAATAAATAAGTGGATCAAAATATTTGCTAATGTTTGTATGTTGTTGGATTTAGAGGTCTGTCTATCATGTTGACCAAAATAATAATAATAATTGACAGCTAAAATGTTCACTATAACTCATCTTGAATGTAGCATCTTCTGTCCTGAAGCAAGTTTATGCCAATGCTATGTATCCAAGACTAGAGCTTTATTGCGATTAAAGTACAGTTGAGGAAAATACAGATAGTCTTTGACCTACAAGCACAATTGTGACCAGAATTTCCATTGCCAAGTAAGGTGGTTGTTAAGCAAATCATGCCAGATTTTAAAACCTCTCTCCTGTGCGCTGCTTGGAGAGTCCAAGCATGGGGTTAAACGCAGTCTATCTGCCCTAGGACTGAGTAGATTTTTCTTTGACCACGCCTCCCTTGCCTCATTGAGGGCAGTTTAAAAACTCAGTCCGCCTGTTAGGATTAATTTTGGGGAGCTCTTCAGTCAGAGGTGGATGCCCCTGTGGTCTCTTTGATGTCCAACTCAGCCCTACCAGCAGACTCCCTCTGGGACACAATAGCTTGGGTATGTCCCATGCTTGGACTCTTCAAGCAGCGCACAGGAGAATGGCCGTTGGCTTACCTGAATAGTTGTTCTCTGGGCGCTGCGGGAGAGTCCAAACCCGCCCAGGGTTCATTGCGGTGTCCAAGATTCTGCCTCACGATCAAGATACCTGAAGGGCGTCCTACAGCGGATAAGATTTTGTTTTTAAACCGCCCTCAATGAGGCAAAGGAGGCGTGGTCAAAGAAAAATCTACTCAGTCCAAAAGCAGATAGACTGTATTTAACCACCTGCTTGGACTGTCCCGCAGCGCGCAGAGAACGACCGTTCAGGTAAGCCAACGGTCACTTTGCCATAGTTGTTAAGCTGATCATGTGATTTTTAATCTGGTTTCCCCGAGCAACGTTGCTTCTTGGAAGCTGTCTGGGAAGGTCCCAGATGATGATCACATGACCCTGGGATGCTGCAACTGTTATAAATAGATGCCAGTTGCCAAGCACCAAATCTTGATTACATGACCATGGAGTTGCTGTGACCCTTGTAATCATAAAGACTGGTTGTAGGTCATTTTTTCAGCGCCATCATAAATTGAAACGGTTGCTAAATGAATGGTTATAAGTTGAAGATTACCTGTAAATAGGGAAACAAAAACTGATCCTTGGGGCAGAAGGCAGTCTTTTAATTGCATATTCTGCTTGTGTATGGAACTTGGATTAATTGAATACTTCATTTTAAGTAAGACAATAATTACGTGAAATGTATTTCTGACTGTATTATTTATGCCTTAAGTAAAGTAGTTGAAGAGTGTGGCTGATTTCATTTTTAAACAAAAGCTGCAGATGGCTGATATTTGGCTTACAGCCTCTGAAGCTAAGTGTTATTGTTTCGTGTGCTTATCTGCTTTCAGTCCGTTTTTGCAAATAGGTTCAGTATTCAAAGTGAATAAATGCATCAAATGTTGATATTTTCTAGCATTACGATGCCATAATGAGATACATCAGCCAGCCGCCTCTCTTGCTTGATGTGCACATCCACAAGCCAATGCTCAATGCTCGCACATGGATGGACTCGCTACTAGCATTTTTTCCGGGTTTGCAAGTAAGTTGCATATGGAAAACATTTGCATCCAATGATATTAAAGCTACTCAATTCCAAAGCAATTCTAGATGGCTTCACAAGTTAGAAGGGCAACAATATACAAAAAACAACCAATATTCAGGAGACAACATAATCTCTAACCACATCCCCTCAATTAATATTAGTCCTCAAACAATTAATTTTCACAGGATTCTTGATCTATGCACAGAATCATCTTTCTTCCTAAATTATAAATTTGTTCGTCATTAAGAAGGTGTGTAAAATTATTAGATATTCCATATGTACTTTTTAACATTGTATTTCTTAAGCAATTTCAACTAATGCACTTCAGCATCATTTAATAATCTGAATTTATTATAAACATTAATTTTATAGACAGGCTATTTTATATTCTGTTAAAAGATTGCCACAAAGGATATGCAAATTTGAAATGTCCCATTTAACTTTTTCAAATCTGAAATACTTCCAAAATGTTCAAAACAGCCTATATCAAATTTTTAAAAAAACTGTGGCAAACCCAGAACAATATTTCAAACTTGCTACAGACTATTCTAAATTTAAAATAGTTCACATTTGATACTCTCCGTGTATCACTAACCACTACATTCTCAAAGCAAATGTATGTTTTTAGTTAGAGGACATAAATCATGTTGTTATCAAATCCATTGCTTTTAATGAACAACTTACCATTTTAAAATGTAAAATTGTTTTCATTATATTATTGTTAACTTGCAGTCTTACTGTAATGCCCTGTGCTGTGGATTGGAAAATAATATACTCTTTTATTTAAATATAATGGGATGTACCTTTTTCCCTTAAATTCTAGGTACTGAAAGGTGATATTCGACCTGCTATAGAAACTCATGAAATGCTATATCAGGTCATAAAAAAGCATAATTTCCTTCCTGAGGTAAGGCAATGATCGTGTCTTAAAAATTCAATATTCAGGGAGTGTAAATATGAAGTATAAATTTCAGGTATTTGGAGAAAATAATATTTCAGACTTGGAGAATTTAGCTTAAGTGTTAAGTCCATGAGTGTTAGGAATATTTAACTGTATGCACCTAGTTCATTTAGTCAGTTTTTACTTTTTTTAATTATTATTTTTAAACATAAATAAGACAAACAGTACATATACATCTGAATCAAAAAAAAAAGAAGAAAGAAAAAGGTAAACAGTGTCACCCCCACCCCCTGGAGACCTCCTCCCCTTATATTTCTTCGTCTATAATAACTAATATATTCCAATTGTGCCCTTATCCTCTCCATAACAACATATATTCTTGAGTAGGTTTATTCCTTTTGCCTTCCACCAACACTGATTTTATAAAATCCCCCCCATATTTCATTATAATTATTTGCTTTAATCATCCCTTTTTAAATTTAATTTCTGTTGTTAATTTATCATTTGTTGCCATACTCCAGATTTCATTATACCACTCATTTCTTTGAATATCCCAATTTTGTCCCCAATATTTAGCCATTGTTAATCTAGCTGCCATTATCAAATTTACAATCAATTCTTTTTTGTTTCATTTATATCCCTTTTTTCCACCAGAAACAGTAATGCAATCCTTGGTGACATATCTAAATTTACATTCAACAGTGCTCTAATTTCTCTAAACACCATGACCCATATCTTTCTGCACTATCACAATCCCACCACATATGTTTATGTGTTCCAACCTCTTTCTTGCACCTCCATCAAATATTTGTATATTTACCATCTATTTGATTTAATTTGCGTGGTGTTAGGTACCACCTCCATATCACTTTATATCCATTTTCCTTAACTCTTAATTATTCTTATATACTCTTCTATTCCAAATATTTTTCCAATCATTACCATTTATTTCTCCCAAATCTGATTCCCAAATTAATTTTAAACCTTTTGCCTGCTCTTCTAATTCTTCTAATGCTAGGTTAAAGAGAAAGCGTGTAGGCCAATGTTGCCATTATTAATTCAACTTTACAGAATCTTT